CGGCCCGGCTAGGTCAAAGTGAAACTGACCTGGGCTTCGTAGGCCAGGCTTTTGGTGGGCCTGTAGGCTTCATGAATGCCTGGCGGGGCCGGCAGGCTTTCGGCATATGCCATCTGATAGGTAAATATTTTGCCTGTGTAGCTAATATCGGAAGACACCGACAGATACCGGAAGATGCCTGCAGATATCTGAAGATGCCGGCAGATACGTGAAGATGGTTACAGATATCTGAAGATGCCCGAAGATATTTGAAGGTATCTGCACCTATTTGAAGATGCCCGCAGATATCTGAAGACGCCTATGGATATCTGAAAGCCTGCAGATATCTACAGTCCGGCCAGGCCCGGTCAGATAGGCCGGTCACCAAAGAAACCCATGCCGGCAACTTGCGAACACTGGTATTATACCTTCTGACTTAGGAAGCTCATTTCGGCCGTTCAATACAATAATCGGATCGCATGATCACATATAACAAGTGTGATCAATGGAGTAGAGAGCGAGTACACGGATACCTAGTGTGTATGAGGCTTGGTGTCTGCGTTTCTGCTCCATTTATTTTCTTTTGAGCTTTCCCTGAGCGCAGCACTTGAGATCCTACAACGTCTTCATCATATTATTATAAACATGCTGGAGGGTGGGGGGCGAAAATATTTTGGAAATGTATGATACATAGGGACAATGGTACTGGAATTTCCATAGCACATTTTCCCTCAATAGGTATGCCCAGGTATCTACAAGTTTCCCTAAACACTAAAGCGATCTTGCAAGAATTGAGAATCTATTGGAGGCGGGAAGAGCTTAGCAAAGTAACAGAGTGGTCAGGTTTGCGGGATGATTATGGTGCAATGATAAGATTCCTCTCGTCCCAAAAGCAACTTTACTACTCCCTCATGTCGCCCCCTCACAGCCCACAAGAGTGGTGTTTCGCGAAAATCGGTGTCTGCGATGTTGGGATTCACATCCTCCCGTCCTAAAAGCAACCTTACTACTGCCTCATGCCCATTCTCCACCGCCCATGAAAGTGGCGTTCTGCCGGTTTTCGTCTCTGCCGCATTGAGATTGATATTTACCCGCTGCAATAGAGCCTTTACTACACCTTTATGCCCTCTCTTCGCAGCCCATGCGAGTGGCGTTCGGCAATATTTGGCCTCGGCCTTGTTGGGATTGATATTTACCCGCTGCAATAGAGCCTTTACTACACCTCTGTGCCCTCTCTTCGCAGCCCATGCCAGTGGTGTTAGGCCTGATCTTGCGTCGCTAGTGTTGGGATTTATATATATCCTTCCGTCCTAAGAGTAGGATCACTACACTCTTGTGGCCACCCCGAGCTGCCCACGAGAGGGGCGTTCGGCCATTTTTCGTCTCGGCCGCGTTGGGATTGATATTTGCCTGCTGCAATAGAGCCCTCACTACACCCTTGTGCCCTGTCTTCGCAGCCCGTGCCAGTGGTGTTAGGCCTGATCCTGCGTCACCAGTGTTGGGATTTGTATCCTTCCGTCCTAAGAGTGTGGTCACTACACTCTCGTGGCCACCCCGAGCAGCCCACGAGAGCGGCGTCCGGCCATATTTTGTGTCTACTTCGTTGGGACTGATATCCTCTCGCTCCAATAGCAACTTTGCAACTCCCGCATTTCCACTCTTCGCAGCCAACCAGAGTGGCATTCTGCCATCTTCCATATCTGCGCTGTCGGCCCTCACATCACCCCACAATAGCGGTGTATTCACAACACCTCTATAGTTGACATTAGGCGCGTTACCTAAATATGGACTGAGCGGAGCCCATAGTGGTCTGTCTATACTCCGGTCTAATGCAAATAGGATGGTAGGGTGTCTTCAGCTAGTGATGGCGTCTCGACAGTCTGCACAGAGTTTCTGCGGAGACAGAAGCCTAAGGTTGAAATAGGTGTGTTGGGGCAGATGCCGTACGGTAATGTTGACTATTGGAAGGCCGAGAAGTGGTTATGTGGGGAAGGGAGGGAAGGGGTGGAAGGTGTTGCTTATACCCTGCTCTGAGAAAACTGTTGAAGCGTGAGGATGATGCAGTACTCTCTCCTTTTATGGTACTCTAGCGGTAATAGTTGTGACATCATTTTTACTCTCTTATCACCTGTTTTATACCTGTACTTTCCGCTTCTGAGTTTTTTCTCTACAACAGTGATGTGTATAATAGTCATTCAGTCGTCACTATTTCTCATCTCCTGTGTATATAAACTCCCGGATATTGCATGTGGCAAGAGATGAAATAACACTAATCGTCCAGCGCATTCGCTCCTTACTTCTATCAATAGTTATTCCCTCTGCGAGTCTAACAACTCCTGCTGTACTTGCATATCGAACAAAAACAGTCACACAAGGCAAGCCACACAAGCCACGGCACATTACAAAGGTTAACCAGCCCTGGAAACAGCAGCTCCCCCCACCCAACGCAGTCGCGACGAAAGTGGGCGGGGGACGAACAAGTGTGTTAGTAGCCCAAAAAAGCAATTGTCAAGGTTAGGGTTACGAAATTACTTGTAATTGATCCCTGTCACTCTTAAGAATTCAAATGCAGACTTGGGACAGAACAAAAAGAAAAACCAAAAGAAAAGAAATGGAAAAAACAAAGAACAAAACTTAAACAAACGAGTGCCCGAAAATGAAAAAAAAAAACTGCTTCAGCTAATAGTGCTCAACCAATCAAGTACAGCCATTCCTACCATTGTAACATCCCGGGGCAAGGGGTATAGGGGAACAATTTCAAAACTCAAAGGTGCGGGATCGCTGATCGGGGGTAGCACGATCCCAGTCACCCACCGGGATATCCCAGAGACGGGGGAAAAGCACGCTCCAGTACCCCCCGGAGTGTGGGTTCGCAGTGGGGCAACATTGATATCACATCCTCCGGGCCTATTTTGTGGGCCGCGGTGTTCCGTTCTTTCATGATACTAACCAGTGAATCCAAGCGTCCAGTCCGTCCGTCTTCGGGGGTGGACTGGACGGACGGCGGTACCTGAAAGGATGCCCGGGACGGACGGGTATCTTGGCGTCCGTCCGGAAGACAGCCCGGGACGGACTGGCGGGGACTACAGGTGTCTCAGGCTGCAGAATGTGTTGTACGACGCGAGATGACGGGCGGGCCCTATAGGTGACGGGCGGGACCTATTGGTGACCGGTGGGACCTACAGGCGACTGGTGGGCCCTGCAGGCGACCGGCGGGCCCTATAGGTGACCGGCGGGCCCTGTAGGGGACGGGCAGGTTCTGTGGGTGAATGGGGATCCCTGGAGGTGAAGGGTGGGCCCTGTAGTGGAATTGTCCTTGAGAAAACAGAGTTAGGTGAGTTTGGTTCGAAGAAACAAATAGAAGGCATGCAAATAACCATATAAGGATCAAAAATGGATATTGCGAAACTCGTTGAAAGGCAACGATATCAGGTATTTATAATAGAATCCTATCTAGCGTTAGCCGGTAGTTAACAGTTCCTCCTAAAATATATTTCCTTCACAAATTATTTACAGAGTGCTGCACTATTCATTGCCATCTGTAGTGATAGGCAACCAAGATGCTCTAGATGTCATGAAATTTGGTGGACTGTGCGAATCATAGGAGGGAAATGTGTAACGGATGGGCGGGCCTTACAAGCGACGGGCGTTGAAGGACGGGCACTGCAGGTGACGGGCGTTGACTGGCGGGCCCTACAGGTGACGGGCGTCCTGCAGGAACAATTTTTGTGTTACCAAGAAATTGAGGACGGCAGGGCCCTGCCGTCACCCTCTTAGACGGCCGTCTTTTCCAAAGGACGGACGCCCTTGCCCTGCAGCCCGAAACAGCTACCCAGGACGCCCGGGACGGGCGTCTCGTAGGTGCCTGCCGGGCGGACGGGATGCTTGGGATCACTGATACTAACCCACTAACCATCACAGTTACTACCAGTTCGATATTCACCACACAGTTACCGGGGTCAGTACAAACTGGCAACCTATTTCTGCTAATCCAATACAAATCTCGGCGGAGGACCAAGTTAGGTTTCCCGATTTTTAATGACTTCCCAAGTAGTTGAGAGGTTATTAAAAATCAGAAAATATAACTCAGTCTCGACCCAGATTGGTATGGGATTAGCAGAAATGGTTTTCTGGTATTGACTGACCCCCCCCCGCCGGGAATATAACCACCCAAAAGAGTATTAACTTACCAGGTCCGCAAACTCATCCAGCTCCGCCGGCTTCTTACAGCCAAACTCGCGAAACCTCTTCCGGGAGCTTCGTATCCATAAGGCTGTTTTTTTGTGTGCCCCTATGGGTGGGCCGACCTGGGCCTTATCATATAAGGCTTTGAAAACAACGGCAGCAACAATGCTAGCCGTGCGAGCACAGTGTGCCTCGTTTCTGTTCGGCTCGTGTGGACTGGCCTCGGCCTCCTTCCGCTTCCTACGCTTCGCCTCTGCCTCCGGAGGACTGGCCTCGGTCGGCTCCCTCTTTCTCTTCTTCTGCTTGGCCTTCGGCCCCCCTGCCTCTAGTTTTGGTATACTCGGACCTGCCTCGGCGCCCCCCACCCTCCTCTGCACTTTGATTAACTTTTTGTGTGCTTTTAGTAACTCTTTGTGCTTTTGGATCTGCTCATTGAGCAACTCGTTCTGGCTTCTGAAGAGTGCAATCTGCTGTCCAAGATGTCGTTCTTTGAGCGCTCGGATTTGCCCCCCTTGTGCCTTCCTTTTCTTGCGTTTCCCTTCCGTTGCCTTTGCCGAAGACATAATATTCAGAATGGTCCTTGCTGATTGACCCGTATAGTATAATACAGACTCTCTCTTGGTATCCGAGGGGCTAGCTCTTTGGCGGCTTTCGGTTGAGTGGTGGGGAATTGTGTGGGTGATGGGGGTGGTTCGCTAATGTACAATATACTGGCATCTCGTAAGTCATTCGTGGATGGGTATACGTATAATGAGTATGGAAGTCGTCACTAAAAGCAGCCGGGTGCTTGCGCGTATCATACCTTAAGTGGGGACTGTGACTAATATTCATTGTACGGTTGCGTGGTGTAGTTGGTTATCACATCTGTCTCACATGACAGGTCACAGGAGGTCCCCGGTTCGAACCCGGGCGCAATCAACTTTTTATCTTCAGTACCTCTCCCAGATCCCCCAATAACTACCCCTAGCATCTTAGCTACCTAGTTAGACCTGCTGCACCCTATCTCACCGCTGCCACCATCCCGCCCGGCAATCAATCTCCATAACAAAACACGCTGCCGAAGGACCTCTTTTCTACCCGCCTCCTCTAAAACACCCAGCTCCGCCTCTGCACCTGTCACCCCTGTAGAACTACTATCCTGCGAAGATACCGAACGCATCGGGGACGAAGGTGGCAATGCCGAGATAGCAGTGGCGCGTTTCAGCCTCAGCGCAGAGGTAAGTGGAGAATCAGAGCCCCATGTCACGTCCGTAGTAGCCGAACTCGCCAAACTGGGCGAAACTTTGGGTCGCGGCGGCTTCCCTAGTCGTGTCCCATGTAAGGAAGATGATGCGGTAGAACGGGGCACAGTCGGATATGGTGGGAGCTGATACGGCGGCTGTTGCGAACTGGGGGTAGGCTCCGAGCATGCTCGTGAGCGTGGAAGCGGATATGCCGCTGCTATTACCGGGTCGAGGAGTTTTGGTGAGACAGGAAGCTCAGGCGGTGGCGGGATCCAGTCCGTTATTCTAGAAGTGAGGTCTGCTGGGTTCGCAGATATATTGGTTCGGTCTCGACGCTCGCGGGACAAGCGTTGTTGCCGTCGCGGCCGATCAGGCTTCTGATGCGGGCGCCCAGACACGGTGAGACTGTCCACATGCGCAGAAAGGCGACAAAGGTAGCTGAAAGCTACAGAGTCCAAAGAGCTTGAGTCGTTAGTGTAATTTTGTCCCTCCCCCTCCTCCTCCTCCCCAACTTCCACTTCCACCTCCTCCTCCTCTTCCGCATCGTCGCCGTGCTGGTTCGTGCACTCAACGACTGTTAGCAAATTGCCTGGGATTCTGCAGATGGTAGCCTCTTCGACCGCGCAGGGCCCGTCGGTGTCGGGTTCGGCAGTACTGTTTGAAGATTCGACTGTGAGCAGGTTTGACAGTGTCTGCAAGCCATGGGCTTTCGCTGAGTCTCTAGATTCCACACCCGTCGGGATTGCCGACATCTGTGCGCCCTTAGAGTTGTAGATGCCGAGAAGCGAACCTGGAGTTACACAGCCTAGCACAAGCGCGGAGGCGGTGTTGGCGCGGGCGTGGGCGTGGGCGTGGGAGGGCAGGTAAGGTGTTTGGCGAGGGAGGAGCCCTGAGCAAGATGGTTAGTTTTTTCCCATAATAGAAGGAAGGAGGTACGGTAGGTGAACAAACCCGCCGTTGGATGTGAAGATTTTCGTTGTATGGTGGATGCCGGTTGTGGTTGGTGGTTCTGTGACATTTTAGCATGGGGGAAGGTATCCGGGCGGGGCGAGCAGGGAGAGGAGGAGAAAGAAGTATCATACCGCCGAGTAAACCGGGTTGAGATTGATCTGACAATGATGATAAGGCAATTTCTTGGCATGTGCCTTAAGTTTCCACACCCCTGTTCGGTAACATGAAAAATCGTCCACACAGTACTGCACCTACCAGTTCAATCCAAGTCCAATCTATGAACATCAAAATCAAATATATGCTCGTCCCCAAATCACTTGGAAATTTGGATGCCACACATAAATTCCTTGCGTATAACGAAACAATTTACGCAATGGGCGACACTCCATAAAAAAAAAAGAACTTGAATTGAATTCCCTCATCCTTTTCCCCCTATTCCGGTACCCGCTCATCCCACCCAAGATTTGGTTTCCCGATTTGTAGGAGTGCGTGTAGGCCAGTTCTTTCCACCAATGAAGTAACTCATAGGTTAGTGTATAATTATTATTATACCGTCCACCACCCGCTGCGTGCATCTCCAGACAATTCCCTAAATAGTCAGACCCCCCCCCCTGCTAGTGGTGCATTACCTCTACAAGTATGCCATAGTCTACTTCTTCAGTAGGAAAGAACTACGAGCACGGACCCCTGAACCTAACAAACCCGACAACGTAACAAATTTATCACGTAGCTACCACGTAGAGTATCCCAATTATCTCCACAACAACCTTCATTATGGCTTCCCCATTAGATGAAGAAAGTCTGCTCGCATCTGCTTCTCAATACTATCATGAAGAAAACACGTCTATCCGAAAAGCCGCCAGTCACTATGGTGTCAAATACCATACCCTCTTCCGTCGACTGCATGGTACGAAAACCCGGAAAGAAGAAGATGAAGATCGACGTGCTCTGTCTCCTGAGGAGGAGGAGGAGATAGTCAGATGGACAGACTATATGACGACGACAAATTATCCCCCAACAGGTCCATGGTTGCATGCAATGGCGGAGCGTATTGCAGGGAGGAAACTTGGCAAAAAGTGGGTGCAAAAGTTCAAGCATCGCCACCCATCCGTGAAAGTCAAACGAGTAGCAAAATTTGAAAAGAAACGAATTGAGGTTACAGCAGAACTAGTCCATGCCTTTTTCGAACGTTTCAAACGTGAACGTCAGCAATATTCGGTTGAGGATCGAGATATATGGAACATGTATGAGACAAACTTCAAAGTCGGAGAACTTGCACGTTTACGTCGCGTTTTTGTGTCCGGACGCGATTCCAGCACACCGCTGCATGGATTTGCAGATGAGGGTGACAGTTTTACGATCATCGAATGCATCAACAGGTTTGGCAGCTCCGTGGTACCAGCCTTTATCCTCAAAGGCAAAGTTACTGTTGAATCGCAACTCCCAGCGGATGAACAGTTGGAATCGCAATTCCGCTTTGCTATTGCGTACACAGACTCCTCCTTCAACAATATGGCTCATGGATTTGAATGGTTGGCTCGCATATTCATCCCCTATACTCGAGGGAACACATCACGCCAACCATGGAGAATACTTCTCCTTGATGGCCATGAATCTCATTTTTCTCCAGAGATGTGTGACCTAGCTTACTATAATCGAGTTCTCCTGCTATTCTTTCCAGGAAAAGCTACACATTTACTCCAGCCACTCGATGTGGGTATTTTTGGACCACTCAAGCAAAGTTTTCGAGCATTATTGGAAGCAGATGCAGTAGAAGGTGAACTACATGTAGACTGGTCCGATTTCTACAAAACGTATGAAAAAGCACGAACGGAAACAATCACAGAACGCCTCTGCCGTGCAGGATTCCGTCATGCTGGCCTGATTCCATCTGATCCCCTCATCCCTCTCTCAAATATGAGGAACCCAGAATGCCTTACCAACTCACCACCTCCAATTGATGACGAAGGGCAAGTAGAAGGAAGTGGAGTACAGGATATCGAAGAGGATGAAGAGGAGGATGAGATTACAGAAGCTTACCGACAGGGAGTCGCTGGTGCTCATAGAAAAGACTTTCGTGACGTCTTCACTGCCTTGCGCCAACTACGTGCAATTGCTCGGAAGCATGCTGCAGAGGCAAAGGTTAACGCGACTCTCCAATGCCGCGCTGAAAACGAAATTTGAAGTCTAAAAAGGGCCAAGAGAAGCAAGAAACGAGTTAGAACCGATCCAAATCAACTTTTCTGTACTCGGAGAGATATAATGAGGGCACGTGGCCTTGAAGTCTCTTCCCCCTTTCAACCAGCATCTCCAGTTCCTTCCTCCTCTCCTATGATGGATGGAGATGATTCACCTCATCAAGAAGTACCTGGAGAAATTGTTTGAAGGGGTTGCACTAATTTGTTATTGAGTTATTGTACATTGTATTTGTAGGTAGCACTGGGCGGACTTGTTAGGTTGAGGGGTCTGTTAGCTTCGGGGGTCCGCCCTCGTAGCTCAGACTCACTACTACAAATTTGGGAATCATATCTTGACTTCGGAGAAACACAGGTGTACAAACTGAGCCCTCCATTAAACTATGCCCTGCTTTCAAGTGAAATTCTAATATATCTTGAGGAATAAACTTGCACTTCTTGAGCCCGTTGTGTCCTGACAGGCCCTCAATGCGAATGTCCCTATGTAAAGGATGTATCCCCTAGCCTTCCTCAAATTATACAAAATAGTTGGTCGCCAATACTTGATTCAAGAGCTCGACTACAGGATTTTCCTCGACAGCTAGCTAGCCCTGTTGCAAAGCCAGTACTGGTGCCTCCGGACGAAGAATTAGATGCCGTTTTGGAATAGTGACCGCGGACTCATACGGGGTAACTCGAGTATACAGTAGCGTTGGAGTTGCTTTCATCAAGCAATACTTTATGTGAACCCCGAACTTGTACCAAGAGTTGATGGCTTAGACTAGAGCTTCGGGTGTGTCAGGTTGCTTTGCCAAACCTCCAGGGTGACCCTGATTATAGAGGCTTGTATCATAGCAAAACTCTATTTTGCTCTTAGGTGGCATATGTGGTTGACACCAAAACCCAATGATCAAAACAGAATAATGGTTCCAAAACAAAAGTTTCTGAAATATCATGCTCATTTAGCCAGCACATGACAAAACCCCATTTTGAAACAGTGCACATAGGTTACAACAACCCATTACTTACAACTACCAATTTTTGTAATAATAAAAATAATAAAAATAAGTATTAAAATACAGGTGCCAATGTATTCCTCATAGTGTCATAATTATTCTGTTTTTTGTTTTTGTTTTTTTGTGTGACCTTTTTTTTTGAATTGATTTTCCCTCAGACACATACATTTCTTGGAGCTTGAACATCTCTAATTATGACAACTTGCAATTATTGCACTTGCCAGCTGCAACTCACATTTTGTGATCATCAAGGTTTGAAAAACCCTGGACAACCAGACACGCACCCTTAATATCATACTTCCACTAAGCATTGAACCTGTTATCCCCTCGCATGTAATTAATTCACGTGGTGAAACGATCAATAAACTCCCGTGGCATGCGCTCTCACTCAACATATAATGCCTCAAGTACAAGCTGTTTTGTTTCACCGATACTCTTTCAAAATGCCTCGAAAACTATCCCCTTTTGTGTCCGCTGTCACCATTCCAAAATAGGCTCCTATTCTTGGCGCGGAGACACGAGTAGTTATCGTCTAGTAGCTCATATACGTAACC